TGTAATAGGATTACTTAATAGGAACTGAAAGTCTTTTACAGACGATTTAATGAGGTACTATGCATAAAACATCAGCATCAATGCCATTGGTTAGTGGCATTTCACTAGACCATAAGAAGCCGTATCTACACAAAATGTTTGTCTGACGACTGTCCCAATTTTCTAGATCATTGGTGGAATGACATCTATAAGATTATCTGTGTGTGTTGCTCTGACATCTCGCAAATTCAGTGGAGCCGGTCAATTTAAGAGTTCCTTCAGTTGTACTACTCCTCTGTTCCTTTGTCCTTGAAATGAACAGTGCAATCGGTGTTTTTATCACTATTACCATTGTTGGTTTACTGAGTCCCTTACAGACTCTAAACGAAGGCGTAGAATTTCCACTGACCTTATTCATTCACTTAAATCTACTGCCGAATATGCATAACTCACAATATCCTGTTAACTGAGTTTGAGAAACCAGCAACTCTCACTCTCAGAAAATTGCTAACCGACTACATGACAAAGAAAGAGCTTGAAACCGAATAATCGTTAAGAGATGATAAAGTGAAATTTCAGTCATCGTCTTCAATAATGAAGACGTATTTGTAAAGGAAATATGTCAAACAAATGAAGTGTTGATACAATTGATCCTGCTCGATTGTTCTGACGTGCAATCTTTGTCTATAACACCTTGATACTTGTGGTTGAAGTTATTTCTATACCTGACAGCTTGCAATTGATTTTCACAATCGACAAGAATGTTCAACAAAGTAAAGCCGATGTTTATTCTGACCATTGTTATTCAGACAGTTGTAATTAATTTTGCATTCTAAGGGCTGTCGTTGTTCCAGTGAACTGTCAATCTAGTTCATCCTAGTCATTCATTGTACAGAATATGATCTTGTGTAATAGAGAAAAGTATTTATTGAGTGCGTTGACTCACGTTTTTATTTTTATTTCAGTTTCAGAAAACTGTGGAATTAATCAGATTGAGATAAAATTATCATCAGGAGGAAAACTGTGGACAATATTGGCAGCGAATCATTGTGTTACCACTCCTAAAGAAACTCAAATTGCTACTTTAGTTTGCTGGTTCGGAAATGATTATATTCAAAACGACCGTATGTACGTAGGGAACCTTGAGAGATGGTATTCGCGAATGAGCACTTATTTGAAATACCATGTCAAGACGAATCAACTATGCAGCTCCTCCAAGTTTTCGATGGTTGTTTAACTAAGTACAAGCGATGTTGTGGGCTACCCAATTCTTCAATCAGAACAAACCCAAATGCTGATGAAAATATAAATTGAAGTTTAGTCATTCATAGCAAATCTAGGTTTTGCTTTCGTTTGCTCTCACTATCGTATCCAGTCGCGCGTTCTGATTTAGAATTATATAGCTACAGACAGATCACTATACTTCATAACACTGAGTTTTATGCATTCAGGAAACGTTTTCTTGAAATTTGAGAAACTGGTTCAACAATGTACCCGAAAGTTATTCTTATTGTGGACACTATTACCATCTCTTTAATAACAAACAAATGTGATTTATTATCATGTTGTTCTGAAACATATACGACTACATAGTTTAGACTATGAGACTGACTTGGAAGGTTTCTTCATCAAAATTCTGTAGAACGATGATGGATGCATTGTCAGTTTAGAGGCAACATACATCCTGAGTTTCAAGGACACAGTCATATGGTAACCAATATTATTTTCATCATTGATACTCATGTCAAGCAGAACTTCTTCAAGTCTTGATGCTAATTGTTTGCTTCAGAAAAGACTGGTTTTCGTCTGCCTACAGGACCAATATTCTAATGCACTACGTTTCTGATTATAGCGCTAACAACAAATTTAATCTCGCAAAAAAGGTTTGAGAATCCGCGGTGATTTATTTAGATCCACTTCAACAGTCCGTTTAATCGTACATTTATCACAATCTACTACTACGCGAAAAATATTCATTTACAAACATGTTTTGCGAATGAGTTTTTCACCAGATGTTACTTTGTAAGCAGTTCAAACAAAAAATTTTCTGAACTTGGAAAACTCGTTTGGACCAACATTGCTGCCTCATTGACATTAATGTTAGACAAAGCAGGTTTATTATTACTGGACTTCTACATTTCAGTTTCAGCATTGCTTAGAATATGTAAGGAGCGTTTCGTTTCAGTTATGTGACAATTGTTCTTCCAAGTCATATGGTTCCTACCCTCCGTCCAACTATTCCTCAAAAGTATATCAGTAATTTAGTCGACCGAGATTTCAACATACAACTGATTTAGTTGACCCGCACACTTATTTGGATATTGTGTAAGCAACATTTCACAATAATTCTTCAACTAGATTGAAACCATAATGTTCTCATTAGTTGTCTTGTCACAATTGATTCATCCGACTGTATCAATCAAATATTCGACTTCACTTACAGTTTCAAAATGTTTATTATTCAGAGAATTAAAGTGAGACATTACAAAAGTTTAAGTTACGGAATCGATTAAACAGGAAAATGAATATTTTTGCACACATACACACACGATTAATGTTTCCTATCAAAGAATGCATTTGCGCATAGGATTCATTGCGGAACCACTTTTACATTGGTACGTTTCTGAAAATCCTTGACTGTGTTTCACAACATCGTTCACACTGAAAACGAAGAAAATTAGATCGAAGTATATGGAACTGTTAATGAAAACATTATTATGCTATTGCGACAATTCATTCATCAACACACTGCACAAATGTTGACAGTATTTATTCAATGTCAACAGCTGTAAGCTAAACAGTTGCATTAGTTGACGTTTACCATCACATCTGCATTGTTGAGACTATGCTTAAGATGAGAGCATATTTAAAGCACGAGCCTTGACTGCATCAAATAGCCGAATGAAAATCAAAGTTTCCATGATAGTGGTTACAGCTCACAACTGACTGCCAATATTTTAAATATATGTCATGGCCACATTTTTGAATGAACTTATGAAAATACAAATGAATTACCTGGATTTGTAGACTTCGATTGAAGACCGTAAATCGTCATCAACAATTTGTGATGATAATCCACCGCACACCATCTTCAGTTATCAAGGATAGGCGAAATGAAGAGAATAATCAAAAGTGTATTGGTGCATTGTAGTTATAATTCAATTAGGGTAACTAATGATCATTTCACAACGTCATGAGACAAGAAAGTCACTTTGAGAAAACTGAAAAGACGCTTTGAACTATGTTTTCTTATACATCAGGATAAGCAACTTAAGGAACAAAGATACACTGAAATACTGGGTCTTTGTTATTCATTCAAATAAATGAACCAACGCAAAAATCAACATCGTCATTTTCGGTTCTGCAAGATTTGACATATTTGTTGTTTCTCAGTGAGTAATTGTCTTTCTTTCATAGTGTCAATAGATCTTGGACCTCGGCTGTCAATGAGTGGAAATCCTTACTATGATTGACATAATAGGCACTTAAATCCTCAGTGAAGTTACTGTTGAAGTAGTGAAACTACAGTTGACTGAAGAAGTGATAGATTATTTCTACTTGTAAAATCTTTTATTAAAATAAAACAGAGTGAACAAATTGTATCGGTTGCCGCCGATTGCTTGAAAATCAACCCTATAATTCTAGAATCATGAGTTATTGGCAAGTCTGTCCACTCACTTTTTGACCATAGTTCTTCTCAAATTCAACGCTACATCTTATCACCTCAAGTAACCTTTCCTTAACAATTAATATTCGTTGTTCCCGAATGCTCAAGTTCAAAACTACCATATTTAGAGTTTCTCAATGAGAATAACAATTTTGAATCCTGTTCAATTCAAAATATTCGTTGCCATGTCCAACAAACGTCTCATTATAGTCGTTGTAATTTTGATTGTAAGTAACACACATAATGTTGATTATCACTCTGTGAAACAGATTTGTATTTGCGATTGCAAAACGTGAAGATAAATTTGACAGAAGAAGAACCCATTTCTGAATCGGTCTTTCACAGTTTTATTTTTCAAGTGGTGTACTACGTCTTTATCGTCAGATTCTTTCGTGCATAACATTTTTACTCATAAGATGGTTGCAATGTAAATGTGCCAGTATCATGCTCATTGGAAAGTGAGATTTTATTCAAATGAATTTTGAACAGTGTGCTTAACTTACTTTCGCGAATGCTGAGAAAAACAACTTCTTTTCATTTAAGCTTTCATGTTTTTCAGTTAAACTTCTCTTGTATGTCTGACATAAATATGAGTAAATTAACAATAAGGAATATTATATATTGAAAACTATTCCGCTGTGGAACAAGACATTAGATAGACGAATGTTGGTGAGAGAGCTTTCTGTGTTTAGTTAATAAGTATCTATACACTTCGGTCACTTATTTTAATCTTTCTGTGCCTTCTGCAGCTAGAACTTTCTTTGAGTCTTGTTTTCGAGTGCTTTATCGATCTTGTGCTTTTACTTTCTGGCGCTGAATTTTGGACGACTCATTCTATCACAGTTTTTTTCGTCTTTCAACATTATTGCTGCGTTCGCATGAACTATGCGAACTGATATGTTAGCACCAACTCTCATCCTTTTGTACAGTGATCATCTACCGGGTAACTCGATAACAAAAAGCTCCTTTCAAAAAACAAAAGGCATAAGGCAACGTTTAAATAAGTTTTGTTTCCGTCATTTATAAAGTACAACGTTTCTGCACTCGAAGAATCTGACATCATGCTTCACACGTGGTCGTATCAAAAACATCCCAAGATTCTGTCTTGTTCACAGGAGTTACTCTATCATCATATCGTCATGTTAGATAGCTAATCAAACACTAGCAGATCATAGATTTATTCATCACTTTAATGTGAAGTGCAAGCGTGGTCAACTGTATATTGCATTCGAAAATTATTCAATGAAATTCAAATTCAAGCAACGAGTTAGTTTACTCTGAATCTAAGGAGCGTTTACAGAATGCATGTGTTAATTGTCAATGTTAGTGATTGAAAAATAAAATGAATACTGTTTTATCGAAATTCACTTACTTCGAACGATAACATAAGACCATTTATACCAGCTGACAATTGTTCTAAATTCTAGTGAGTATGAAAACAGTTGAGATCACAAATATTTATATAACGTCTGTCCCATATACATCACGTTATTTAAGTTCGACTTATGTAGTCTCTTTGACAAAAAAGATGTAACAATTAGTCAGGAAAAATAATCAAAGAAGTAGAATTCTTAAATGCCTGTATGTCGATTGAAATACAAAGTGGTTACCTATGAGATTTACCGGTTGTCGACAGTTCTGGCAATGTCGGAAGGTTTCAATTAATTACGTTCATCATCCTAGTTATATTTCCAAGAAGATATCGAATATCTTTGTGCAGTATGTGACAACTGATTGTTGGATGACTATTTCACTAACAACTACTCATATATGTGATTTACTGCATTTGTTGGAATATTTAAGCACAATAATTTTAAGTGAGTTCAACTATGTTAGCTTGACAAATTGAGCGAGTCAAAAATTATCAAGTTTTATGGATCCTCATATAAGAATAAATCGTAGTACTTGACTTCCCTGAAGTAAAAAAATGACACTGTACTAGGTCTTTATAACTTTCAATTAAGTGGAAAAGTTCGTTTCGTAAGACGTTTTGTTAATTGAAGTTTTTAATATTATTAACAATAATCCTACGAAACTTGAGAAAGGTAACAGTGAGAAAATAGACACGGCAAACCGTCATTTAATATCGTTTTGGTTTACATTTCACCTAAACTCACATACTGACTGAATGCAATTCCATATTTTTCTTTAACTTGATATTGATATTCACATCTGCTTTTAACAATTTTTCTATTTTACTGAAAGACTGATCGACTTATCATTCGGAAACTATGTGTAGATGACAAATGTATATCTCTGTATTTAATTATCATAATTTTCATTACAATTTGAATGAATTGCACTTTCCATATATACCAGTCATCTTTCAGTATGTATATCTCAAAAAGTATTCCGAAATCGAAACGCCGAAAACTGTGTGAAGATTCGAAAAAATTCTTGGATGAAAAGTACGTTCAAATTTTTCTTACTTCTTTCTGAAGTCCTTCAGAGTTTGTTTGTTCTGATAAACAACACAGTTGAGTTCTTAACGGTGTAGATGCAGTTGGTGAACACTTTGACTGATATTCTGATTGATTTTGTACGTGTTCATTTCTAAAACCTGTAATGTAAATATCCGTTTATTGAACTGAGTTTTCGGGAGTCAATATATATACAACGTCAACTGTAAATAGGATGATTGATATAGTGGTTTCTTTGCCAAGTGTGGATAGTATTCCATATATGACAAAGAAAACCTTCCCACTTTACACGTTAACTACTCATAAAAATAAATAGTGTATTTATACCTGAGGACAATAAATTTCGTTACTAATATCTCAATTTCCATCATATTACAGATACAATCAATTATATATCAAATGAGAATAACTACACTCAGATTCTATTTGACACACTCATGTGAGAATTGTTCATCATCAATATGATGACTATTCAGAATAAAACGTTCTAATTTGCACAGAAATCAGATGCTAACTAATTTAATAATAAAAGTTAAAATAGCAATTATTCATTCTCAATACTGCGTGAATTTGGCTGAACAACTTAACTGAACCCCTATCTTGCGAATCTTGATAGATTGAATGTTGATAACACATCTTCATTCATTACCGTCAGTATTCAAATTGCGCTAAAATATCTACTATAAACACCATTAGTCTCAGTTCACACAGATCTCGTAGGTTCACAGAAGCAGTTCACATACACGCACATTTCTCAATTGTTAGTGAACGATTCCTAATACCTGATTGTGATACCATTGTTGTTCACGGACATGGAGTGATATCTTGAAACCTACCTGCAGACATAATCTGACGACCAAGAAGCGAACCAAGAATTCCATACTTTTCAGGCATTATTTGTGATGTATTTAGAAACGGTGGATGTAATAAGCCGGATGTCATAATCACGGTAAGATTTTTGTCAAATATGTACGGTTGGAAAGTGAAGAAACGAGGTCTAAATATTTATAAACAAACAACGAACGAGAGATCAATGAACTAATAAATAGTGAAAAGTGAGTGGATGAATGAACCTGTCAATAAACTGATTTGGTGTAAGTTTATTTATTATTGATATATTGTACAGTTAATATCCTGTTCCATGAAATGGGATTCAAGTTAGATTACCGAATTTAGGAAACTCAAAACATTTAAGCATCATGCCATGCAACTATTTGAGATCAGCTGTCCTCCTGATGATAGATGCATCCAAAGTACAACACAAAATGGAAGAATATGCATGATAATATTTCAGAGATCATTATTAGCACTGCTGTGATAATAGACCTAGTTCAAAAATTGTATGTATGTCATGATGTGACTGCCTAATCTATAAGATCTTACGTGGAAGTGGAGTCATTATCTATACTGACTCATCTTATAGTAACAATTAACAATATGATACTTGGCACTTTTGAAGAACACATCTGATCTGAAGAGAGGATAATGTATTTATTGCGAATAAAGTCAAGTTATATAGAACGATTACGTCTGCGATGCTGAGCCATGCTATTAAATTGAATGATTATTCTCTCGTTCACCGTTATTGGCCTACTCATCGTGTTCAATGTTGAATATCTATACTCCCAGTTATCTCATCTTCAGGATGTGTGGATACGTCGAATACAACTACACATGCAGTAGTGATTATGTATCGCAAGACTTAAGTCCCAGAAATCAACACAGTACACATGATCTACTTATTTGTGGTGTGCAGGAGAAGTATTGTTAAATGAATAGTATAAAAAGTGGTGCCTTATGTTTCGATCATGTTGACATACTTATTTTGCAAGGTAAATGTACATTGGTAAATTTAATTAGGGTGTATGAAACGAGAATTTGTCAATTACTTTAGAGTAACAACATATTGAATTCCATATTGAATTCCACCTATAAACGTCCGTGATCATATTTGATCGCCTAATTAAGTGTGTTAACACTTTTATTGATTAGTTGTAAAATTGCAATATTTGAATACATTAGATCAAAGTAATTTGTACGGTCTGCAGTTTTGTCTTTTAATGCTATGCAAATACATTACACTGAAATACTGACAAACACGTTTCGCATTCTTCTAATGTTACAACAATATTCTAAACGAAATAGAATTTCAAGGTTGACTGTCAAATAAATTGAATGATGTCACCCATTTCACCATTATTCATAAACTCACTATTTGAAACATAAGTAGTTGTGAATTGCGATGCCATAAATAGTGTTTGTTCTATGAACAAAGAGTTTATTTCACATGAGAGTGGGTAGTGATTAAAAAGCCATAGTAACAAAATACAACTCACAATTCGTATCTGTGCGAAGTAGCCTTCAATGATGTTAGAAATTTAGCTTTCATCGAGTAGTATGCATTTATAAAATAGTTATCTGCAGAAAGTTTATTCTGAAACAGAAATAGAATGATGTTTTTATTATTTCCAAAGTTACTGATTTATTCAATGAAGAAAATAGTAATCGTACAGGTGTTTTAACATATCAACTTCCGTTTCTTTAAATGCAGAAGTCATTTCATTGCAATTCCATGGTAGGTACGTGAAATAACGACGACAAGCTGACTGATGTGGTGGATCATTTTTTCTCACAATATCAATTAAAGCAATAATGGCATCAGATAGGAACTATGCATACTAAATGATAGTCCATTTCAAAACGGTTAGTGCGTTTTTAATATTTTCACAATAATCTACATTCTGTTGTTGACAGTATAACATAGAGTGAACAAACATGAAGCAAGCAACTGTCTAAACCATAAATAATTCAAACTTTTGAAGATTACCCTAAATATGCTCGGACATTTGAGGTATATTAAGTAGAATAGCTTAATAGAAGAAGACAACTGGCTTAACTCAGTTACTGAAATAATGGTAATTGTTAAGGTTAACCAGGACACATTGAAATAATTTTCCTGATTGATGGCACCTCTGAAGAATAATGTGTGAGAACAAGTGAAGTTTTGACTACTTTCTATATTTCTTTCTTATGAAAAGTCTCAAATCGAAGTGCATTTACAGACGTACCAAATAATGAATTAAGACAATGAAACACGTAGTATAACAAAGGACATACGCAACAGTAATCACTGACTGAATGATAGATACAGAATCGAAACATTAAGAGTATCATATCATTCAATTCCATAATGCTAATGTTGATCAACTTTAGCTGTTAGTAAACGTATACTAGTATATATTTCAGTATTTCTTTTTTAGAGCATATCCTTTATCATACTGGTTACAAGATTACTTTCATTCAATGTTCGATTTGAAATGTGAGTGTAAAAGTTTTCTTGAATTTTTCTTCACGTGTTTATCAACACAGTTGATAATGAGGCTTTGTCGTCACATAGTGATATCACTCCGATAAACTCCATTCATTTGCGAGTAATTATGAACATTCGTTCTATTATTTCTAAGCATTTATGAACGTCTATGTATGTTTTCTAAAGAACTTGACACATCAAAGCTCGACACATCATTTTTGATTCAAGATAGTTTCATATATATATATATATATATATATATATATATATATATATATATATATATATATATATATATATATATATATATATATATATATATATGCAATGTCAAATTTATATGCTATTCCATTCGTTTAGTATACTTTGATGCTATCGGTCTTTCTGTTTAGCTGCAAAATGAGCTTCTTTGCAATGCGTCTTGGATAGCAAAAACGCTTCGTGTCGGTAACGTTAGACAACGTGAGGCGAATGTCATAGGCTGTCTTAGGTGAAGTGGGTGTAGGATGTGAAACAGAGACGTTAGCAATAAGAACCTTCAAGAGAAACACCAATGCGTTCGCATGGAGTGAGCACTGAAGATGCTAAATAAGGCACTGCAATCAAACCATCTAGCTCGAATAGTTCAACACTTTGAAACATGGTAATACTTGTCTATTTATATTCTTATTTTGTTCTACTCATGAGTTGGAAACAATTACATAAGTCAGATGGTGAATACATTGATAGAAAAATAATATTTTCTCAGTAATAAACAGTCAGTCAATTACTTAGCTGAGTCTTTGATCATTAAGTTAAGCAATAATAAAATACTCAGTGTTACACTTTAGGAACGTACTTCGAGTATTTTATCTCGGCCTTCGTATCTCTCACTCAAGGATTCTGAATCCATTATTAATACTTTCATATTGGAAACCTGAATAATGCAATCGGTTAGTATTCACACTATAAAATCTAAACAAACCGTCGAAATTGCTTTTTGTTTGTCATCTTTACTGCTCCACGATCCTTGAGACAATAATTCAGTCAATTTGCGCTTCATTTCGTCAAACATTTGAATCACCTATTCCGTACAAACAGACATAACGATCAAAGTGACGAAATAAACGATGAACGTTATCAGAGATTATTCATATTTTCTTGCATAACAGTAAAGTATTTAAGAAAATAATAAATAACTGGAGAATTGATTTACACTCTCTCCTATTATTCAGCATATCTCATAATTGTTTTAGTTCTTGATTACCACAGACTTAGTTAAACCATCCAGTCCGATTTATGTACACAGAAAAAATCAAGCTTTCAAACTACGCCTTACATTACTTGCTAGTTTCTTCAACACAATATGTAAATCGTGTCATTGCAATAACCTGTCATACTTTCAATTATGAACAATAGGGAAATGATAAACTATTGAAATAGGAACTCACTTCATCTTTTGTACTCTTACTTATACTAGAAAATTCGTGCTGCTTGTTTATTGTCCACCAGAAATTCTCTTTCAATTCCTGAATGCAGCTTGGTGGTTTTTCATCTGAAATGTTTATTTGAATAAATCAACATGTTGTTACACATACTTTTAGTTATAAACAGACAACATTCAACATTATTAATCATAATTAATTGAAAGGAACACAACCTATTTCATTCTCAGTTCAAATGGATCATGGTGTTTATAATTCATTTACTCTATTTGTATATTTTTTATTAACGGTATAGTTTTAAATGACAAACAACGTTATGACCCTCAGTTGAATTATATTTTATCGTTCAAATCATATAGAAAACCAAATAAACATGGGGAACAATCTGACTGAAGTACAAGATTTGACACTATGAGAAATCTCACTATGTATTAAGTGTGGATAAATAAAGCTTATTTATCTCTAAATTCGTTTACTGGCTACTTGACCAGTTCTCCCAATTACGTTGTCCAGATTTGTTTGCCAGCTTGTATTCAAATAAAGTCGACACATATCTAGTTGGATGTACCACTAAATAAAAAAACATCATTTGTCTGAAATACATTCAATTATGTTTATTCGACTGCTATCTATTTTACAACTTCATTTAGACATTAAGCAATCAGCCTAGAAAACGTCCATCAATAATTATGTTTATGTAACTAGCTATGGTACTTACCAATAGCTGAAGGATAAAAATCTTCGACATATTTCTTTAGGTAACGTCGCATTTTGTACAAGAAATCTATCACTAACATGGTATGTATACCTCTGCAAGAAAAATTACAACAACCATGTACTTCACTCATGTACAAATAGCATTTAATTTAAAATCAACATTGATTGTCGTTCCTAAGAGTCGATATCGTTAAACTTCAACATCTAGGTTTATCAGAGAGACGTGACATGGAATGAACTCAATAAACACGCTTCATATATTTTTTTGTCTCTAGTTTGAATGGGAAATCGACTGACATAATAGTCATTTGTATACTCTCCATATATACAGTAATTAAAGTGATTTTAACCAGCTCATATGATAATCATATCATTTTCAACACACTTCATTCTTCCTGGATGTATAAAACAAATTGTGGTTACAGGTTGAGACAATCCTGTTGATAATCATGCACCTACAGTCCATATGAAGATTGCATGAGGACAAAACA